GTATGATGTGAGGTAGAATACTGATTTTATTTTTCTCTATCTAGTGAGAAATATTCCCAGCCTCATTGGCTAAATTATCCATCATTTCTTCAATAATTTATAATGCCACATCACCATAGTTCATATACTCATATCTTTGAGTCTGTTCTGTTCTCTGTATTCATTTCCACTGACTTTCACTATTTTAATGACTGCATCTTTAAGTGTTATATATCTTGGTATCTAACAGGGACAGTCGGCTATCCATTGCCCCTGTTCTTTCCAACTATCCTTAGTTATTTGTGGATCTTTATCCTTCAAAATTAATTATTGAGTCATTTGTACAAGTATATTAGTCAAAATTCTCCAAAGAAACAGAACAAAAGGGAGTGTGTGAGTGAGGGAGAGAGATTGAGATTTATTTTAATCTCATGTGAATTGTGAATTGGAGGCTGGCAAGTCCCAATTTGCAGCAATTTGCAGGATAGGCTGACAGGCTAGAGACCCAGGGAGCAGTTGATGTTGAAGCCCAAGTCCAAAGGCAGGCTGATGGTCAAATTCCTCCTTGTTCTGGGATTGTTCTTTTTTTTTTTTCTAGAGTCTTCAGCAGATTGGATGAGGCCCACTCACGTTTGCTTTACTCAAAATCTACTGGGTTCAGTGTTAATCTCATTAAAAAAATACTTTCATAGAAACATCTAGAGTGTTTGACCAAATATCTGGTTACTGTGGCTTAGAAAGTTGACATGAAATTAACATGACAACAAGATTCCTCAAAATAGTATTTCTCTTATTTTAATTTGGATTATATTGAATTGGTATGTTAATTTTGGAAAATTAACATTATTGGAGTATTGAATTATTCTGTCCATGAATATAACATGTCTCTCCGTTTATTAAGTCTTTCCTTACATCCTTCAATAAATTTTAAAATTTTCTGCATAAAAGTCTGCATGTATTGTTTTTGTTGATATTGTAAATGGCATTTTATATTATATTGTATTTCTGTTTATTTAATGCTAGAGTAGTAGAATACTATTGATTTTTTAAGTTGACAGTGTATCAGCCATCTTTCTTAGGAGCTTTAACACTTGGCCTGTGAATTTTCTTGGAATTTTTATGTATGGGATAATATCAGTAGAAATATTAGTAAGTTTAAATTTTTTCCTTTAATTTTTTTTTTCTAATTTTATTTCTTTGTCTCATTGTGTTGGTCAGTATATCCAGTATTATGCTGAAAACTTTTGTTGCTAATGGATAACTTTTTTCTTGAAAGGAATGCTTCTAATTTTTTTTTTTATTGTGAATAATATTTTTTTCTAGATATCTTGGTAGGTGATCTTTATCAGTTACAAAAGCTATTTTCTACTCTTAGTTTTCTGTGAAATTCATTTTTATCATAAAAGGGATTGAACGTCATTTTTTTTTTTTGCTTAATCTTTTGAGATGATAATATGGTTTTTCTCGTTTAAACCGTTAATGTACTGAAATTACATGATGTATTTTCTGATGTTGAGTAATTCTTAATTTCTTGATTCTTAATAATAAACCATAATAACTTTAACTTCTATAAAAGAGACCACTGGTGGCAATTAGATTTTTTAAAGTGATTTTTGCATTTATGATTATGAATATAATTTAGGCTGAAATTTTTTGTTTTCTTGTACTGCTTTTATCTAGTTTTGTTACCTTGAAAGCTATAGCATCATATTTTCTAAAGCAACTTGTACTAAATAGACACCGTCTTTCCTTAACATTTGAATAGGACTGACTTGTAAAATATCTAGCCTTTTTGACATTTTTGGGGAAGGGGGAGGGAGGAAGGTAAAATGAGGAAGATTTTTTGATAACTCTTTCAATTTTTAAAATAGCCCTAATCTATTTATTTTCTGTATTTATTATACCAAATTTTGCAAGTTATATTTTTCCCAGAAATTTCTTTCTTATCTAGGTTTTTCGATTTATTGTTTTCATAAAATTCTTGCATGATTTTCAAAACTCTCTATTATCTCTTTAGCTATCTCCTTATTTCATTTATTTAATTTTATTTTTTAGATACAGGGTCTTGCTCTATTGTCAGGATGGAGTGCAGTGGCATGATCATAGCTCACTGCGGCCTTGAACTCCTGGGCTCAGAAGATCCTCCTCCCTAAGCCTCCCAAGTAGCTGGAAATACAGGCGTGCACTACCATCCTCAGCTGATTTTTAAATTTTTTGTAGAGATGGAGTCTGACTATGTTGCCCTGGCTGGTCTTGAACTTCTGGCCTCATGCAATCTTCCCACCTTGGTCTCCCAAAGTGCTGGGATACAGGTGTGAGCCACTGCACCTAAAATAATTTTGGCCAGGCACGGTGGCTCACGCCTGTAATCCCAGCACTTTGGGAGGCCAAGGCAGGAGGATCATGAGGTCAGAAGATTGAGACCATCCTGGCCAACATGGTGAAACCCCATCTTACTACAATACAAAAAATTAGCCAGGCATAGTGGCATGTGCCTGTAGTGCCAGCTACTCAGGAGGCTGAGTCAGGGGGAATTGCTTGAACCCGGGAGGTGGAGGCTGCAGTAAGCTGAGATTGCACCACTGCACTCCAGCCTGGCAACAGAGTGAGACTGTCAAAAAAAAAAAAAAAAAGAGAGAGAGAGAGAAGAGTTTTATGTTTTCTATTCTTTTTTGTTTAGTCTTACAGAGGTTTGTTTACCTTGATAGTCTTTAAAACACAAGCAGACTTTAGGGTTGTTGATGATCTTTTGTGTTGGATCTCCATGTCACAGATTTTTTTCCTTTGGGTCCTTTGTTCCAGGAATGAGGCTGGGGCTGATAGTGGTGATGAGGAAGGAAAGGAGAGTAAGATTTGCTCTTGCTTCACCCCTCCTCCAACCCATGATTGCCTGTTATTTCCATCTGACAGCAAGTAGAATAAGGACTTGAGCAGTAAGGAGGAGGATACGCTTTGAGAGGGGTTGAATATTCCAGGGAAGAGTATAGTATGAAAAGATGGAAAATCTCAAGACATAGCTGCAGTGCAAAGGAAAGCTATGGTCTTGGGGCAATAAATGGCAGTGGATGCATTAGGTCAGGGACTGTCTTATTTCCTCTCAAGTCACAGGCTACCAGAAAGGCAATATCTGAGGTTCTCACAAGACTAACATGTGCTAGGTTAAATAGAGAGTGGTTGTCACTAATAAATCAAAGTATTACTAATAGTAAATGATTCATTCTGGAAAGTCTTGGGGCTTTCTATTTGGGCTCTTAAGCCTGTATCTTATAAGATGCTAAGCCTGGACCAATCTGAGACATGAAAAATATGTATTTCTAATAAGTTTTTAAAAATTACTTATACTCTAATTTGTTCCCAAAATAATTTAATGTGACTGTGCTAACAATAATGGAAATGTCTCTACCCTGAAAAGCTAATTACAGTAGTTCCTCCTGTGTCTGTGCAATCATCTTGGATTGATTGTGAAATGCCAGTAGGGGTGGCATTGACAGTTATTAACTCTACCTCTTTGTAATATTTGCTGCTGTTTTGTTTTTGAGGCTGAGAAGATGGCTTAAAAGTGGTCTAGACTACTGTGTATGACTTCCAGTACCAAGAGATTGGAAGGTATTCAAGCAATTTTCAGTCCGGTTAAACTCAGAGGAATACCTTCTTATCAGGCAGGTTTTACATTTTATCTGTCGTTAGGCCTACTCAAGACTACAAAATAAAAAGAGTAAATTTACATCAGGTAATAAGGCAAAAAGAATTTTAGTAACTTCTCACAGCATTCTCCTCTGCTTTCTTGCTCACCAGTCAGTTGGTGGGAAGAGTGTAATAGACTAGGAAGGGGCATGTAGGAACTTTTTGGGTGTTATACGTTTTTTCCAAAACTTGGTCTTGATGGAGGTTAACATGTGTGTATAAAATATTTATTAAGCTGTATAATAAAATTTGTGTGCTCTATGTATATTATACAACAAAAATGTGTGATTTTTCTTTTATTTCCTAAAAGGATAAATAATACTAAATACATTTTTTTTTTTACTAAGTCAGAAGAGGTTATATAAATGTGTTGCTCCTTAACAAGACTTTTAATATCATCTTGAAACTCCATTCTGTGGCTCCCATGATGAACTGAGTTCTTACTGTCTTTCATTTTGATCCTCAAAGCTGCTTTGCTTTCCAGAATGTTTTAAATTAAGTAATTGTTGTTATTTTGCATTTTGTTGATCTTATACAAGTTAGAAATAGCTTGAGGAAGTTTAGATAAAAAAGCAAACACCTATCTAAACATGAAAAGTAATCAACAATATGCTGCATATTTAAGTATTAGGTAAATACAATTTAGAGATTAATAAACTACCTGCTTTATCTCCTTCATATTGGTTTCGTTCTGCTTTCATTGGTTGTTTAATGAGAATATATAACACAAAGAAAAACCTTTGTATTAAACTAACATGCTTAAATTTAGATTTGAAACATGTAAGAGCAAAAAGTGGTAGTTAATAGGAATTTATGGTAAGGCTCGTCATAATTGTGAATATTCAGTTTATTTGTATTAATGGTTTATCCAGGTTTCCTACTATGGTGGTGGTTAATTTTACCAATTTTACTATGTTTATCACAGACTCCTTGGTTATGTACAATGGACTTGGGATTTCCAGCTTTCTTTTTCTTTTTTATTTTTGAGATGGAGTCTTACTCTATTGCCCATGCTGGAGTGCAGTGGCGTGACCTCGGCTCACTGCAACCTCCGCCTCCCAGGTTCAAGTGATTCTCCAGCCTCAGCCTCCTAAGTAGCTGGGACTACAGGCACCCGCCACCATGCCCAGCTATTTTTTTTTTTTTTTGTATTTTTAGCAGAGACAGGGTCTTGCCATGTTGGCCAGGCTGCTCTCGAACTCCTGACCTCAGGTGATCCACTTGCCTTGGCCTCCCAAAGTGCTGGGATTACAGGTATAAGCCACCACGCCTGGCCTCCAGCTTTCTTAAATAATGAGAACTAACTCCTTGCTTCCCTTTGACTCTTGTTTTTATAGGCAGCCCTGCAAGTTGGGGGCCACGGAGAGAGGCTACACCAGTGTCGAGAAGTCATGCTTCTAACTTACAAATCCATCCCCATGCAAGTGGATGGGGAGCCCTGTAGGTTGGCCCCAGCTATGATTCGGATCTCCCTGAGGAATCAGGCCAACATGGTACAGAAGAGCAAGAGGAGAACATCCATGCCTTTACTTAATGAGTGAGTCTGCTCATGGCCTACCTTGCTTAACACGAAGACCTTGGAGAGGAGAGTGCAGAGCATGTGCATGGTCTGGGAACCTCACTGTGTTGGGAAGAGGAAAAAAGTCCGGGAGACTCAGCAGTTCCTTGGTTTCTCTCATGGGAACATATAGAGTTTTTTCCCCTTGTTTATTGTACAGTTCCACACCCTTCTTTTAGTAGTTATTACTGTACATGAGATAGATGATGATTCTTCACTGATCACTTGAGAATATATTTATTGGGACTCTCAGAAAATCATTGAGAGGGATTCTAGGGTGGTAAACTGTGTTCAGGTAAATGTGTTTTTGTTTGTTTTGTTTCAGGGAAGCACATAGTTAGCCTGCTCTTTACTTAGGTCGCTTGGAGAGTGTTGGTTTCTCCAGTCGCGGCTGGTTGGCAGAGCTGGTCAGTGGCTGGCCTCTATCCACATTGCATCTCTTTCTGCCTGCCAGCGAATTGTTCCCTTCCTGATGTTCCTATTTTGGGGTCCTGCATACTCTGGTGCTTCAACTCAGCATTGGCTATCTGAGCAGCATCCTATTGTCCAGACATAGCCTGACCCACTCTTTCACACGTGGTATCCCTCCTGGAGTTTTCCTTTCTTAGGCATTTTAATAAACTGACTTGAGGTAAGGTAATAATGACTAGACATTTAGAATGCATATTCATTTTATAGTGTGTCTCACTCCAACTAGTGATTAAGTGTCTGTGGGGTTGGGGAAGGGGATGGATAATGAACGGAAGTTTTGGCATCTTTTGAATATTTCCTATATATCATGCTGTATGCCTAAGGCCATTTCAGGGCTTAGCCTTGTGTCATTCTCTGTCACAGTGAGGGACTCTCAAAGGTGCTTCTCCCGTTTGTGGCCTGTCATGCATGGTTATCTATTTGCACTGAGTGGCTGGCTTCCTTGTGGTGCCTGTAAAGCAAGGGCATGCTTTGCCATGCATTTATGCAGAAGTCCCTAGAATAGCCAGCAACACAGGTGCCCTCACTCACTACCAGCACTTACTGTTCTCTCTCTGTGGTGGCACATGTTGATGAGCAAGATTAGATAGTGCTCTCAGAGTATTCCAGCTTTTGGCATCTGGGTCTCAATTTGAAGCTGGGATAAAAAATCTACTCTGTCCTCTCCTTCCTTCTCTCCCAGAATCCAGACTTCCCCCAGAATTTTTCCTAGATTATTTTCCAGAGGTGTTTTTTAGTTACATGTCTTTCTTTGTTTACATTTTGCGTTTAGTGAAACTCCTGACTCGTTCCTCATGCTGCCTGCCCTCCCTGCCTTTACCTTCTGTTAGGTTAAATACACAATTGCTGAGGTTATATTTTAGAAAACGTGGAATGTCAGTAGTTGTATATGGTTCATCAGATTTACCCTAGAAATGTTAGAGTTACGTGGACCATGGGTTTGCCAGAAATCTATGAAATACTAAGTGAAAAAAAATCTCTGAAACTGTACTATAGTCTATGTTGTTGGGTCACTTTTAGATAGTTTGTTAAGAAGATATGCAGAAGCTGAAAGTTTTTACTATGTATAGGCAGAGAGCTCACAGTCTTAGGCCTGCTTCTTCTGTATTTAATAACCTTATCAGACATGAAATGGTTTTCAGCTGATTTAGTTTTAAACAGCTTTTACCTTTGTGTTGAGAATTCGTATTTGCTCAACAACCATATTGTTAAGAATTCATTTGGCTTTCTGCACCTATAGAAGCACATAAAAAGAATTGTTTTCTTTTTGTACTCATGGCACACGTGATATATGATGGCACTTCTTGTAGCTCTTAGCTATGCAAGTGTTCAAGAAGCAGCCTCAACTTAAAAATACTGTTACTGGCTGGGTACGTTGACTCACACCTGTAATCCCAGCACTTTGGGAGGTCAGGTGGCCGGATCACTTGAGACCAGGAGTTCAAGACCAGCCTGGTCAACATGGCAAAACCCCTTCTCTGCTATAAATACAAAAATTAAACAGGTGTGGTGGCACATGCCGGTAATCCCAGCTACTCAGGAGGCAGAGACACCAGAATCTCTAGGACCACAAGGCAGAGGGTGCATGGAGCTGAGATTGCACCACTGCACTCCAGTCTGGGCAACTGAGCGAGACTCTGTCTGGAAAAACAAAACAAAACAAAACAAAACAAAAACCCCAAACAACAACAACAATAACAAACCCCAGAACTGTTATTTACTTTCTACTAGAGGCAGTGGTACCTGCATCCAGGCCAGCCCATGCCCTCTGAAAGACTTACGAGAAATGGGAATAATAGTATAATTTTCATTTTATTAATGAATATTTATAAGACTTAAAAATAACAAAAATCTTTATTACTACTTGTGAAAAATTATTCAACACTGTATTTTCAGAAAATCAATACAGAGAGCACATTTTCAAAAGAAAGCAAAAAACCCTAGTCACCTTGTAATATTTGCTTACTAAACCTTAATTTCTCTCATTCTAATCTTATTTACCTTCTATGATTAAATATTTCTTTCGATTTTACCAGAAAACCTTATTTTGAAATCTAAGGTCTTCCACTGGATTTCCAAGTGGAGTTTCAAGCTCAAGGTCAGCCTTTCCTTTAAGACTTTTCTATAAGTTTTCTTCCACCTTCTGAGTCCTTCAAGCCTTTCTCTGCTTTGACCATCAATTGTGTGAAGTGTACCATTTCGAAGAAAGAGAAATTCGAAAGACATTTTCTTTATTTTCTGCCTTCCTTTCTTTGCCTGTCTTTTTTCTTTACTCAAGGAGAACTAGTCGAAAATATCTTTAGAATTTTTAGCTTAAAAACCTCTCTGTGTGTGTATGTGTGTGTTTGCGTGAATGTGTGTGTGTTTGCGTGTGTGTGTTTGCATGTGTGTATGTGTGTGTGTTTGTGTGTGTATGTTTGCATGTGTGTGTGTTTGCGTGTGTGTGTGTCTGTGTGTGTTTGCGTGTATGTATGTGTGTGTTTGCATGTGTGTATGTGTGTGTGTTCCCAATAAGAAGAAGGTGGCTGTTTAATTCATCTTTAAAAATTAGGCTCCTTTCACACAGCATGGTAATTGGATATTCTAGACGTAAGTGCTGTGGCTCCCTTAACAGCAGTTCCCTTTCCACTTACATGCCAGTTCTCCTTGTGGTTCTGCCCTTTCTCTGGGAGACTGTATCTCTGATCTGTGTCTTCAGCCCAGAATTTTCTTCTAAAAATTGAAGACTGATACCCAAATATCTCAGTTGACATTTTTACCTTAATGTCTCATAGTAACCTCAAACTACATGCTAGAAACTGGACTCATTAACTTTATTTCCTTGGCTTTTCTTCCCCACCATCCAGTGAGCCTATTCCATTCACAGTTGTACACAGGAAACTACCATCCACTCATTTGTCCTGTTCCTGGCCTCTGAGGTTCTCTCAGTCACTTCTACTTCTATATACCTGCTAATCCATTTCTGCATTGCTGTAAAGAAATACCCGGGACTGGATAATTTATTTATATTTATTTGTTTATTTATTGAGACAGAGTCTGACTGTCTTGCCCAGGCTGGAGTGCCATGGTGCCCTCTCGACTTACTGCAACCTCTGCCTCCCAGGTTCAAGTGATTCTCCTGCCTCAGCTTCACAAGGAGCTGGGACTACAGGCGTGCGCCACCATGCCCAGATGTATTTTTGATAGAGACAGGGTTTCTCCACGTTGCTCAGGCTGGTCTTGTAGTACTGGGCTCAAGTGATCTGCCCGCCTCAGCCTCCCAAAGTGCTGGGATTACAGGCGTGAGTCACCGTGCCCAGGCAAGGCTGGGTAATTTGTAAAGAAAAGAGTTTTATTTGGCTCACAGTTCTGTAGACTGTACAAGTATGGGACCAGCATCTGCTTGGCTTCTGGTGAGGCTTCAGGAAGTTTACAGTCAGGGCTAAAGGTGAATGGGGAGCTGGCATATCACATGGTGAGAGAGAGAGCAAGAGGGGGGAGGCACCATACTCATTTAAACAACTGATTGTCACATGAACTCAGAGTGAGAGCTCACTCACTACCCCAAGGAAGGCACCAAGTGTTTATGAGAGATCTGCCCCCATGACCCAAACACCTCTGACCAGGCCCCACATACAGCATCGGGGATTCCATTTCAACATGAGATTTGGATGGGACACATGTCCAAACCATATCAACATCCATCAGGGTAGCTACCACATTCTTTGAACTCTATCTTCTATTTATTTCCCAAGTCTTTCACTCTCATCCCCTCTATCCTCTCTACTGCTAAAGCAGCCAGAGTTCAAAGGTCATGCGAGCTACCTCTCAGCAGCATTACTAAAGTATGCTTCTGACTGTTTTCTTGTTCCCACCCTTGCTGCCTTCACATAATCTGTCTCTTCTGATATACCAGTTAGATTGATCTAAGAATCCCAAGCCTGTGTTCCTTAGCTTTGCAGACCTTTTCAGTCACTCCCTTCTTCATTCTCTTTGCTCTTTGTTCCAGGGAAGATTGCTGTTCCTGGAACAGTAGCCTGTCTCCTACATCATCCTGGTTTTGCTTTCAGGTCCTCTTCTTGCAGTGCCCTCTGCACCTCTTTATCTTCTGCTAACTCCTCGCTCACAGCTTAGGACCCCATTGAATTACTACTTTTCCTAATAAGCCTTTTCTGTCTAATTCTAGCTGTTAGATGTACCTTTACGTGCTTCAGTGGTGCTCTTGGTTATTTTCATGACACTACTTACTAAAAACAGTTTAATCATGGATTTACTCCTCCCTTCTCTGCTCTGTGGGGAGGCCCTAGGATTTTCCTTTTAGGATCCCCAGTGTCGGTCATAGGTCCTGAGACACAGTCACATCTTGCATCAGTGACTCACACATGAATCCATTCTATGAGGCTGTCTCTGCTGTGTTTCTCAGAAATTGCTTTCTAAGATAAGTCTAAAATTTTGTGAATATAAAACTAATATCAAATATGTTTTGATCACATTGTCTTATAAATGAAAGATACATATTTAATGATTTCAAGCTATGGCCCACATGGATAGAAGGAATTTCCATGAGAAATAGTTAACTAATAGGGCCTCATGATGCCACTAGATCTTCATTTATGCAAAAGAAAAAATTAATGTTTCCTAAAAAATATTTCTTGGCTTATAACCCCATTTGCCATTACTATACACAAACTAAAAAGCTAGGTCCCACTGTGTCCAGAAGCTCCTCATTTATTTGGGAGCATATGTCATTTTATCATAGCATAGGAATCTACACAGAGTATGAACTCCAGTAAATACCTTCCCCACAAAAAGGAATAAGCAGATGTATCTAGGTTCATATTCGTATGCTAGTAACATGATAAGCTGGATTATGTTCTTTATTTGCAAGATGCCATTGAAGGAGAATAGAAACAAAATTACCCAGGTGTTTCAGGAGATCTTCAATGAACTATTAATAAATGGATAATATTATCCTTAGTTCACTAGTAATTAAGGCTTCATTGTTAAAGACGGTCATTTTAACCAATGGCCAGATTTCTAGTCAGCAAACTTTGAATTGAGCAATCGAATTCCATCATCCTAGGCTGCTGAGACGTATTATATTGGTTGGAAATGATAGTACTTGGAGGATAACACAGACAGAGAGAGGCTTGGACTGGAGTTAACTCATGGGTGACTTTGTATGAAAAGTTATGTATCCTGCAGAACAGAGAGATCCAGGGAACTAGGTCTCATGTAGTTCCAATGAAACTCTTTAAATAAGAGAGTGGAGAGAATAATTATGTAAAGTCAACAAAACATTTTGGGTTTAGTTTCTTAAATTCTACATTTTATCTTTTCTAGCAGCTGCTGTAGACTCCATTATAAAAGAAAGGAGAAAAGGGAGAAATCTGTGGTTTGATTTTTCTCCCCAGAATGTGGGTAGAATGACAGCAATACAGTGATAAAATGAGACCTTCTTGGTATTACCTTTGGAGTTTTTTAAACGCCTTTGTTGTTCAACTGAAGGAAGTTGAAGTTTTGGTTCAGACACTTTTTAAGACGATTGTCTTTTGATGAGTGTTCCTATAAAGCCTGGGGAAACCTGATGGCTGTGTGATGGAAGGGTTAAATTGACTTTGAATCTTTTCAAAGATGAGTTTACCATGCCAGCCTACCACTCAATATGTAAGTGCGTGCCTTCTCTCCTTGGGTGTCCTGATGGGCCTGAGCAAGGGAGGCCATGATCATCTCCCCACACCCCCCGACCTGCTGTCCTGCATCGACCCCAGCCTGGCCCCGCTCCAGTCTGTGACTTGCCTAGAACCAGCGCCTTCCGTGTGTCCTGTTGGCTTTGTTGCTATCACCCGCTTTTTTTGGATTATTTCCGTGGCTGGCTTGGTTTTCCTTTTCCTTTCCTTCGCTGTTTGGTGATGCGCTCATTTAATTTCTGTTTAAATTTTGTGTGTCTCTCTTTCTCTCCCCTGGCTTGTTCCTTGTCTGTCTACGCTGTCGCTGACTCTGTCTTCGCTGCTCATTCCCTGCTGCCTCTAGTATTCACCAGGTGCAAACTGCGGACCTGCGGCGAGTGTCTGCTCCCCCCGGCTCCTTCACCATGTGAGTACAGTGCCGTTCTGTTTCTACATTTTCTCCCCAGCCTCGTCTCCTCAGGGTTGGACTACCTGTGTCCCTTGCCTTCACAGGTCTGTTCCTCAGATAAGGAAGCCACCTCACCAGAATTGCTTTCTGTTGCCCTCTTTGATTTGAAATGGAGCTGTGAAGTTTTTTATGTTCTATGTGCTTCCATCCTCTATCTAAGTTAACAGTTCAATTTTTGGATGAGATACTTTAGGGCTCATGGTTGCCTGGGGTTGTGTAGAGTTCCATACTAAGCATTGGTTTTTATGGAAAGTGCATAATACCATTAGACTATGCCATTACTTACAGCTCAGAGATAAGCTTGAGGAAGTGCCTGCAGCCCTCAATTTCTGGATGAAACCTTAAGATTATGCATGGAGTTTTGAGTGTGTGTATGTGCGTATTTCTATTTTGGAAGATCCATAGTTACAATAAAAGTTCAATGACCCCAAACTGTCACTGAGTTAGCAAAATGCATTTTTATGTATATTTAGGAGTTTCTGCTTAGTGTAGTCCAGGGTATTATTTTTTTCTACTGAAAACAAAAAATATGTTTTTTAGCATTTCAGCTCAGAATTATTTTGTGCTGTGGACTCTGCTTTGTCCTTGGTTTTCTCCATATCACATATGCTTGTCTAGCATTCATTATGTTTCAGGGACTGTTACAGATACTTTACATATTAATTAATTTACTCTCCCAACAACCCTTGGCCATATGTGGTATAATTATCTCCCTTCTATGCATGAGGAATCTGATAGAGAGCTTAAGTAACTTGCCCAAGGTCACACAGTTAATAAATCATAGAGTGGGATTCAAACTCAGGAAGTCTGGCTTCAAAGTTCATGTTCTTAACAATTTGCAGTCTGCTGCCTTTCATCTGTCAGGATCCTGTGTATTTCTCAAGGCCCACTTGAATGATTACCTTTCCAAATAATTCTTCTTTGATTCTTGCTGTCAGAGTTAACTACACCCTCACTGGAGTTTATCATTCATGTATCTGTTACAGTTCTCAAGGTTTAATTTAGTGTTAATTACTTTAACTCTGTGTCTGTGTATTTCACACAGTAGACTTAGGCTATTTGAGATGATTGGCAATATCTTAATATGAATTTTGTGTTCCCAGCCCTGTTCAGAGATTTTAACATGAAGTATTCTGAAGCCAAACAATGATTGGTTGGTTTTCTTGGTGGAATGAATGAAGAAAAGAATACATGTCTAAATAGAATTGTACAGTATATAACATCTGGTGATATATATGACAAAGCAATTCCTAAAGTTCAGTTATATAATCCTACTTTCAACCCTTGTCTTATGCATACTAATTTATTTATTCGTTAAAATATGTATTCATTCAAAAACCTTTATTTTACACTTGCTCTGTGTCAGACACTAGTTTATGGTTTGTGTCTAGTGGTAAGCACAACATAGCACTACCTTCCTGGAGCTTACACTTGAGCAAAGAATCAATAAGAAAATGACATTTGATTGCCAATTTGAATGTTGTGGCTGGAGTAAAATTGTGTGTTCTATAAAGGCCAGTTCGGTAAATTGGAGTTTAAGGAGTGGCTGCACGTGATCATTATTTTTAGTGACTACATTGATCGTGACCAAAGAATTGAGAATGTTAACAGCAGAAACGCATATGATAGTCACCCTGTTTCTATCATGGGTTAAATTTTGGTTGTATTTACACTTTAGTCATATATCTTAAATTGGACTGGTTTATCTCTTTTTCCATGAGTGTGTGTGCTACATACAGTGAAGTAAATGGTCAAACTTGTTTCTCTAGGGTGCAGCAGCCACTAAGTTGTGGTTACTTTAAAACTTGAATGTTAATTTGAAAATATTTTATATCTACATATGATATATATTAAATATTACATGTCATAGATTTCCTACCCATAGGTAAAACATTTATATGATAAACATTAAATCAGGATACTATTTTAAAAATCAGATAATAAAACGTTATGGAATACAGCAAGGAATGTGGAGAAAAGTTTAAGCACAATATATGCATTTTGCCTTTTTATGTTATAGCGGTGAGGATAACCTTGATTTACTCACACACCAGTGTTTGCTAATTTCAACAATGTTGAGAAAACCATGGTAACATTGCTTTGGTCCTGTAGAAGTTAAGAGCCCCAGTATCATGAAGTGAGTTTTTATATATTTTTGCGGGGGAAGGGAAGGGGATTGCAATCTCATCGGCCATTCTCTGCTCAGAACAACTCTTTTTTACAGATGATCTTTTCTTTGGGTGAACCCTCTCTTTATGCTGCTCTTGAAGCAATTGTTCCTTCCTTGAGAAACTTGAAGTAATCTTTTTTTCTCTCTAGCTTTCAGAAGACTTTTTCTCCAGGGATGGAGTGCATGGTGGTAACAATGCAATGCATAAATTATTAGGAATTGCAACATACTACTAATGCCTGTGTATATGCAAAATTTCCAGTTTATTCAAAGAAAAATCATGAAATTTTATGTTTTGATCATATATGACAACATATGAATTGATGAATTCTAATCAATGGAATTTAGTGGTCTCATCCAATAGGATAAAACAAAGCAAATAGAATATTTCTCCCCAAATCTTGTACAGTGCAACTTAATGAATTAATACATTCTTTATAATTGATTGGCTTCATGATGAAGTAAAGTCCTCATTGGAAGACACATGTACACACTGCATTTCATAAATCATGACTAGTCATGCTAAATGCTGTAACTGCCAACTCCTATTCAGCTAATGCCAAAAAAGTGTGAAACTGCAGAATGTGTCTTTCTAGAACTCTCTTAGCCTTTAGTAGCTACCTCTCATTAGGTTCTATTTCCCTCCTGCTCTTCCCCCAACAAAATGAAATAATTGTGTTCCATTTACACCTAATTTATTCATTGCTTTCATCTTCCAACAAACATTATTGAATGTTTACTTCGGTTACTAGATACTCTGTGGGATATTGGAGAAGCAGAGATGAGGACACTAAGGTTTCTGCCCAGGAGAAACGAACACACAAGGAACAAACCCAGTTGTGTTGCCTGTGACAGAATTATGAAGCAATGCGACAAGCATTCAAGTAGAGGTTCTGGTTGTTCTTCCATATGAATGACTTTGTATTGAGTGTTTATTGTATTTGCTTTTATTTTTAATATTTAAAGTTAACATACTGTAAACCTGACTTTTCTTGTGTACAGTTCCATAAGGTTTAAGACATATAAAGATTCATATAACCACCACCGTAGTCAGGATATAGATCAGTCTGTCACCCCGAAAGAGCTGCCTCATGATGTATCCCATTGTAGTCAAACCCTCCCATCTCCCAACCTCTAGCAACCACTAATCATTATAGTTTTGTGTTTTCAGGAATGCCATATAAATGGAAGTATACAATGTGTGGTGCATTGTAGTTGACTTCTTTGACTGAACACTACACCTTTGAGATTTATCCAAGTTGTTGCATATATCAATTATTTGTTCCTTTTTATTGCCCAGCTGTATTTCATTGTATGGATGTTTTAGCTTGTTTACCCACTCCCCCACTGAAGGATATCTTGGTTATTCTTCCAGTTTGGGGCAATTATCAGTAGAGTTCCTATAAACATTGATGAACAGGTTTTATGTAAACATAAGCTTCATGTCTCTAGGTTAAACATGTAGGAATGGGATTGCTGGGTCATATGGTTAAGTGTATGTTCACCTTCGTAAGAAACTGACAAACCGTTTTCCAGAGTGGTCGCACCATTTTGCATTTCTACCAGCAATGTATGACCATTCCAGTTGCTCCACATCCCTGTCAGCACTTGTACTGTTAGCATTTGGGATGTATGCGTCCAAGTCTTTTGATCATTTTTTAATTGGGCTGTTTGTTTTCTTCCTGTGAGTTTTGAGAGTTCATCATGTATTCTGCCCCCAAGACCTTTGTGTGCTTTGCAGGCATTTTCTCCCAGTATATATCCTGTCTTTTCATTCTCTTGATGGTATCTTTTGTAGAGTAAAACCTTTTGACAGAATCCAGATGATCATTTTTTTTTCTTTATAGAGTTGTGGTATTGGTATTATGTTAAAGTACTCTTTGTCTAATTCCAGGTGAATGTTTTCTCCTTTGCTTTCTCCCAAAAGTTTTATAGGTTTTCTGTTTTGCATTTAGTTATGTGATCTGTTTTGAGTTTTTTTCTATAAGATGTGCTGTTTAGCTTGAGGTTAATGTTTTCGCATATGGATGTTCAATCCTTTCAGCACCATTTGTGAAAAGATTATCTTTTTCTATTGAATTGCCTTTACAACTCTATCAAAAAATCAATTGGATGTACAAAAAGTCATCCCTTAGTATCCATAGGGGATTTTTTCCAGAGTCCCACTTCTTAGATTCTTAGGTGCTAAAGTCCCTCATATAAAACAGGTATTTGCATATAACCTATGTATATACTTTCATGTATTTTAAATCATCTCTAGATTACTTATAACATCCAATACAGTACAAATGCTATGTAAATAGTTGTTATACTGTATTGTTTGGGGAATTGTGATGAGATAAATAGTCTGTACATGTTCAGTATAGACAAAACCATCATTTTTTTTCTGACTATTTTCAATCTGTTGTTGGTTGAATCTGCAGATGTAGAACCCACAGAAATGGAGAACTGATTGTGCACACACACGTACACACACACACAGACACACAGATCCAATGTAAACTCTATTCTGTGCCATTGACCTATGGTTTATGCCTTTGCCAGTGCCATATTCTTTCTATTATTGTGCCTTTATAATAACTCTTAAAATCTGGTTTCATTATTCCTCCAAATTTATTCTTCATTGTCAACACTGTCATGGCTATTTGAGTTCCTTTGTCTTCCCATAAACATTTTTAGAATCAGCTTGCCTATGTCTCCAAAAATTCTACTAGAAATTGGATGACTGGAATTATATTGAGTGTATAGATCAACTTGGGGAATGTTGACATCTTTACTGTGTTGAGAC